AGAGAGTGAAGATAACTCAGACTCAGGGAGTGACATTTATTGGAAGAAAAGAACATGCGACAGAAATATACAGAGAGTTTGAAGTATTGGCTCTCTAGAAAGATTTGACCATCTGGATAACAGCTTTGCAAATCATTTGGATAAATGATACCATTCGAAGGAGAGTCTTCCAAAGCAAATCTAAATGCCAGAACCCTTTCAAGAAGGTTTATGCAAATTCTGGCTCATTTCCTCCATTCGTTAGAAGCTCATGAGGTGACGTTGTCCTAGATATAATTAAACATTTAGGACATGGGAAGAATTATCTTTAATTTTTTTACTGTGAAGTATTATTGGAAGATTAATATCAATAGAATAAATATTATGTAGAATAACAAAGAAGTAGAGGCTGGGCGCGGTGGCTCACGCCTATAATCCCAGCACTTTGGGAGGCCAAGGCAGGCTGATCACCTGAGGTCGGGAGTTTGAGACCAGCCTGGCCAACATGGTGAAACCCCATCTCTACTAAAAATACAAAAATTAGCTGGGTGTGGTGGGGGGTGACTGTAATCCCAGCTACTTGGGAGGCTGAGGTGGAAGAATCACTTAAACGCAGGAGGCAGAGTTTGCAGTGAGCCGAGACCACACCCCTGCATTCCAGCCTGGGCAACAGAATGAGACTCCATCTCAAAAAAAAGAAATACAATTTAGAATGTAAAGATACAACAAGCCAGGTGTGGTGGTGCATGCCTGTAGTCCCAGCTACTAGGGAGGCTGAAGTGGGAGGATCTCTTGAACCCAAGAGTTTGAATTCAGCCTGGACAACATAGTGAGATGGATCGCTTTAAAAAAAAGAAAAGAGCAAAGATAAAACTATTTTAGGAGTGTGGAGTATTCCTTTCTTCTCCCCCTCCTTCTTTAAAGAGGCAAGGAGAAACTGTACTTTTCTAGCTGGGAGGAATCTTGTTGATTTAGCTCAGGGAAAGAGTGGAACTTATTCTTGCTAGGAAATGTAAGTAAGTTTTGGGTGACACTTTCTAATGTGACTAGCAGCAATGGGCCAGTTTATTTTCATGGTGTCTGGAAGGATGCAAGAAACAAATCCATCTCCTACTTGTAACTTTAATTCTCAGGCAACAGTAAGGCAAAGTTAACAGTTACTTTGGCCACAGGCAGTGGCTTACGTGGGCAGATCACTTGAGCTCAGGACTTCCAGGCTAGCTTGGGTAACATAGTGAAACCTTGTCTCTACAAAAAATTAGCCAGGTGTGGTGGCGTGCAGCTGTAGTCCCAGCTACTTAGGGGGCTGAGGTGGGAGGATTGCTTGAGCCCAGGAAGTTGAAGCAGCAGTGAGCTGTGATCGCGTCATTGCACCCCATCCAGCCTGGGTGACAAAGCGAGATCCTGTCTCAAAAAACAGGGAGTTAATTAAATAGATCTGTTTGTTTATCCTTTGCAAAAAGGTACTTTCAGCCAAGTATCTGGCTTGTGAAACTAAACCAAATTAAACATTCATCTCCAGGCACCGCCAGGAATCCTCCCCCAGTACCTGGAACAGAGAGCACATGAGAGTTGTTTCTCTATTGCAAATTGTTTGGTAACAATATAAGCTGACAAGAGCAGACAAATGAGGATCAGTGGCTGAAGGGGACATCCCAGTACCTTGGGCTAGGAAATTAGTATATAAAGCTATTTTTAGCTTGATGCCATGGTCTTAGAATTATCTTGTTAACTCTCTTCACTCTACCTCCCTGCTTGACAATTTCGATTTCCCACATGGATGTTCCTAAAAGGGGAGCCAGAATAAATATTTGTCCATTTGACAGTTGTGCCTCTCATTGTACATTAATAAGTTGTCATTCTGATGTATTCACCAATCTATTGTAAAGACAGTTAACATTTTCTCTGGGGCTGATAATTCTGAGTATATTGGATCATTCTGTTTTTGCAAAGATGTAAAATACCAGACTTGGCTTAACCTCGAAGGTACTGCCACTCTGTGAAGCCTCTGTCCTTGACATCCTTCTCCCTTTCTTTGCATTCAGTAGTCTTCACTTTGTTGAATTTCACAATCTAGGAATTGAAAAATATTTCAGCTCCTAGATTCTGTAACACCGTAAGAAAATGGTATTACTGGTTTAAGGAACAACCCAGACCTCATGAGTCAGTTATTGGGAAAGCCGAGGTTGGGAACCAGATCTGCTAACCATCTTGGCTGTACTCATCCTATTAGAGGACACTATTTCAGTGGCAGATCTAGAATAATTGGTTTGCATACTCAACCATCACTCCTATTTACTGTGCTCCCTCTACATTTGGCTACTTATGGAATTATTTTTGTCACCATAATGGATAGCTTTATTATGAGCCCACAACTTTCTGGACATAAATAAATGGAGACTGACTAACAATATTGTGTATGCTTAAAATGTTCACTGTTCTTCCATATTATATAAACTAGAAAGCCATGGACCACTTAGTTTATACAGTAGCTTTTTTTTTTTTTTTTTTTTGAGACAAAGTCTCGCCCTGTCACCCAGGCTGGAGTGCAATGGCACGATCTCGGCTCACTGCAACCTCCACCTCCCGGGTTCAAGCGATTCTCCTGCCTCAGCCTCCCGAGAAGCTGGGATTATAGACATGTGCCACCACGCCTGGCTAATTTTTTGTGTCTTTAGTAGAGACTGCGTTTCACCATATTGGCCAATCCTGTCGAACGCCTGACCTCGTGATCCACCCACCTCAGCCTCCCAAAGTGCTGGGATTACAGGTGTGAGCCACTGTGCCCAGCCATAGAGTAGCCTTTATGTGTTGCGTAGAATGTTACGTATAAATAGTTGTATTCATCAGACCTTGCCTCAGCATTTCCGCCACCTGGTATAGTACCTGGCACGCGTAGGGTGCCCATAATTTTGAGTTGGATTGTGTTGAGTTAGGTTGGATTAAATTATTGAAAGTGGCTCTAATGTCTTTCAACTCCCAGATTCTGTAATTTATTTAACACCACTGCCCAGATATGTGTTCAGACTAAGGCACAACTGTTCAAAGACATTTTATTAGGCCCTGTGTCTGTCTCCTAGTCTGAAAGATCTACGTAATCAGGTACACCAGTCCTGGGAACTAAGACCTCCTGAGACATTGCAGAAGGGATTGGTTCGCCAGCCTGAAGAGAGCATCATGTTCTCTCTCGTCTCAACACTTGGAGGGTCCAGAGAGTCCCAGCATATGAAAGCAGATGTCTTGGAGGTATTCACTAATGGGGCAGTACTGGTTCAAACCCAGTAAACAAACTTGCTGCAGTTAATTGTAAAACCCAAAATAAAGAGCATTGATATCTCCCTAGAGGTGCCATTTAATGACATTATTCTTCTGATTGTCAGGTCCCCAGTGGCGGTTACTAGGGCACTTAATTTTCTTAGAACAGGTTTGTTTTTGCCATAAGGATTATGTTGGCATCCAGTGTCTCAGATAGATTTTGTCTGGCAGTTAAGACATAAAGTGATAGTTATTTCTTTATCTTTAATACTGATAATTTTTCATAGATACTTCCAGAGCTTCTGATTTTCACTTCATTGTGTATGTGGGGATTTTTAAAAATATATTTTTCACTTTAAAAATGTGACATCCGGCCGGGCGCGGTGGCTCAAGCCTGTAATCCCAGCACTTCGGGAGGCCGACGCGGGTGGATCATGAGGTCAAGAGATCGAGACCATCCTGGTCAACATGGTGAAACCCCGTCTCTACCAAAAATACAAAACATTAGCTGGGCATAGTGGTGCGTGCCTGTAATCCCAGCTACTCAGGAGGCTGGGGCAGGAGAATTGCCTGAACCCAGGAGGCGGAGGTTGCGGTGAGCCGAGATCGCGCCATTGCACTCCAGCCTGGGTAACAAGAGTGAAACTCCGTCTCAAAAAAAAAAAAAAAAAGTAACATCCAAAACACCAGACATATGTATTTTTTTTCAGTGTATTTATTTATTTTTGAGACAGAGTCTTGCTCTGCCGCTCATGCTGGAGTGCAGTGGCATGATCTTGGCTCATTTCAACCTCTGCCTCTTGGGTTCTAGCAAGTGTCCTGCCTCAGCCTCCTGAGTAGGGAACTACAGGTGTGTGCCGCCATGCCCAGCTCATTTTTTTTATTTTTTAGCAGAGACAGGGTTTCACCATATTGGCCAGGCTAGTCTCGAACTCCTGACCTTGTGATCTGTCCCCGCTTAGCCTCCTGAAGTGCTGGGATTATAGGCATGAGCCACTGCGCTCAGCCTTTCAGTATATTTATTAGCACTAATTTAAAGTTATACACAATGCGTTGTTTCACAGAGCATTCATCTTTAGTCTCCTGAGATAGCTGCTCAGTATCATGTCATGAGAAAAGTTCAGATTTGCAAAGTATTTGTCATTTCCTCCTGATAATTATTAATTTATTTAGTAGCCATTTGTTTTTAACACTTTTGTCTGCCAGTTTATAGATTTATGTACATGTCAGATCCAAAAATACATAAATGTTAATATTAGTACTAAAAGCAGGTTGAAGTATACCTTTGTACTTAGCTCTCATAGCAAAAGTCCTAACCTAACCCAAACTCTTCTGTCTTTTCTTAAATATATCAATGCTTACACAAGGATAAATGTTTTTTTATGAAAAATTTTCTGGCCAGGCACTGTGGCTCATGCCTGTAATCTCAACACTTTGGAAGGCCAAGGCAGGAGGATCAATTGAGGCCAGGAGTTTAAGACCAGTTTGGGCAACATAGCTAGATCCCATCTCTACAAAAAAAAATTTTAAATAAATTTCCCATTAGTTCTCAACTAAAACTCTGGAACATTTAAGCTAGATAACAATCATCCACGTTAACTGTTTCAGGGATTTCACACATGAGTAGGTGACAATAATTATTCCAATTTCAATCATGGTTTCATAAAATATACTTTTTTTCAGTTAGTTTAGACTAAACTTTCTATCTTGATGGAGTGAAATAAATATTTTACCTTAATTACTAATATGTGTTTATTTTATTTCAGTGGCACAGGCATGGATGGGAAGAAATGCAGCGTGTGGTTGTTCCTACCTCTTGTATTTACTTTGTTTACTTCAGCTGGATTGTGGATAGTGTGAGTATTCTCTTATTTAATTATTTAAGGACTCAGGTGCAATGTAGATAAAAATGTAACTCTTAATAGTCACATTTGGTGGCCAGGCATGGTGGCTCACACCTGTAATCCCAGCATTTTGGGAGGCTGAGGCAGCAGATCACTTGAGGTCAGGAGTTTGAGACCAGCTTGGCCAACATAGTGGAACCCTGTCTCTACTAAAAATACAAAAATTAGCCGGGCATAGTGGTGCATGCTTATAATCCCAGCTACTTGGGAGGCTGAGGCACGAGAATCACTTCAACTCTGGAGGCAGAGGTTGCAGTGAGCTGAGATCACATCACTGCACTCCAGACTGGGCAACAGAGCAAGACTCTGTCCCCGCCCCAAACAATAGTAGATGGCATATCTATATGATTATATTTATAAATACTTTAAAATAATATATTTTACTAATTCAACCTTGATAAAGTCCTCATTTCTTTTCCCATTTTCTATTAACCAAAGTTAAGTAACAAAAGTGAGTAATAATTACGCAAAGGAGGTAGTGAAGAATACTAGTTTATTTTATGTCCATGTGTTCTTGTTGTATTGAACATTTTGTAAACTGGTTATATGAATTAATTATTGGCAAGATTTTCAAATTTGACACTATCATGCCGTGGATTCCATTTGCAGTCCAGTTCATAGTCCAGTTACTCATTACTGGGTCTGATATATTTATAAAATGAATATCATTACATTGGAAGTCCTGGGTTACCACAAAATGTTCCTGCTTATTTTAGGTAATAGTCTCTTTAAGAAAATTATTTTAGTTCCTCAAAGTTTATTATGAAAGTTCAGACACATATTCCTGAGAAGTTGGAAACTGAATCCTAATTTTAGTTTGCTCAAAGTTGTAAGGTCTATTTCCTTGTTTTCTAGATTCCAGTTTATAAGCATTGTCATTAATTTGGGGGATGTTTTGAAATTAAGGAAATATTACTAATAATGACATTTGAGCTTCAAAGAACTAGATGATCTATGGGTAAAGAATTGTAAAAGATCATTTCTCAGAAAAAAATGAATATGATTTGTGCAGTTTAATAAAACTGGGAAATGATTCTTTTTTGCAATTTCTTTGTTTTATAAAATTATTCTTTTTTGATAGATACTTCATTGCTGTGGAAGATGACAAAATTTTACCATTAAATTCAGCTGAAAGGTAAAGTTTACCTGTTTGGTAATTCATTGTTCATCAATAGATTTAGCAAAAACTTTCCCACTGGGAAGGTTAGACCGCACAAATGACAGTGCTTTAACCTGAGCCTCTGTATTTTTTGGTTATCCAGGAAACCTAGTGTGAAGCGTGCACCATATATAAGGTAACCCAGCAATTCTCTTCCATCTTGTGGGACCACAGGAAAAGTTGGGAGGATTATATATTTTGATATAATAACTATAAAACATTTCGTGTTTTTCAAGCATTGCAGGTGATACTCCTCCTGCAAGCTGTGTGTTTAGTCAAGTTATGAACATGGCAGCCTTCCTAGGTAAGAAGAGCATAAAGAATGCTTTATATGCTTTGGTACATTTCTTGTGTATTTTAAATTCTCCCAGACTCATATCAAAACAATGGGAGACTCAGTTGATTATTTAGTATCATCATATCATGTCAATATGCTGAAGTCAGCTCTTTGTTTTAAAGATCTTTTTCTCTCATACATCCATTTACATTCACCCTGCTGTCCTTACACTTTCTCTTCCCTTTACTGTCTTTATCATTTCAGACATTCTTGCCTTGATTTCTTTTGCTGCATAAAATATTTCATGTTCTAAAGTCCTCTTTGAGAATGTAATATTGTGTAATACGTTTGTTTTGAAAAGAATGCCTTCTTTATTCCCTCACTAGCAAAGACGAAAAAATGCATGGGCTCTGTGATATTTGTTGATGTGTGTAGATACCGTCTTTAAACCTGAAGGTCAACATTAGCATTAGGATTACACTCTCTCCCGTGCCTATAGATGTAGTAAGCTGGCAAATGGAGAAGGAGGCTTAAAAAGAAGAAACCTTTGATACTCATATATCTATCCCCCGTTCTTCACTGTTTCTCAGGGTCCAAGACCCTCATGTAATATTCTTTCCCCTCTGTGAGTGCGTCCATGACCCTGTGTAGTCCTCCAGAGATGGTGGGAACCACCCGTGCACTCTATCCTTTTTCAAATCTACTTGTATACCATCTCCTCAAGGCCAGGCTTTCCCAGTGCCTCTCCAAGAGTCAACTAGCTGTCACTGTCAGCATGCTGTTAGGAAGGACCAGAGACAGCTCACCCTTCCCACAATGGTGTTCTAGAAGTGGTTCTTTTGATGGTGAGACTTCCACTCCAAGTCAGAGGTAGTATTGTTACTGAGGGAATATTCAACCTTTGTGGGACCTGTCCCCCAAAGAGGTGACCTGTTATTTCACCTCCACCACCCAAAATTCCTACTTACTCTTAATCTATTATTTTTTAATGTTTGCTGTAAGAAAGGGAAGACGGCAGGGTGCAGTGGCTCACACCTGTAATCCCAGCACTTTGGGAGCCTGAGGCAGGTGGATCATGAGGTCAAGAAATCAAGATCATCCTGGCTAACATGGTGAAACCCTGTCAAAATACAAAAATTAGTGGGGTGTGGTGGCACATACCTGTGGTCCCAGCTACTCAAGAGGCTGAGGCAGGAGAATCACTTGAACCCAGGAGGCAGAGATTGCAGTGAGCCAAGATCATGCCACTGCACTCCAGCCTAACGACAGAGCAAGACTCAAAAAAAAAAAAAGGAGGTGGTGGGGAAGACCTTTGGAAATCAGTGGAAAATTAAGGGAGATGTTTGGTCCAACATGCAACACAGGTAGAAACTTAGTTGGTTCAGAAAGCCCAGAACATGAGAAACATGGAGAATGTTTCCCATTAGGCCCATCAGGCCTCTCTTGAACCTGTAAGTTTCAAAAAGAAGTACACTAGGGAGCTTCTGTGCAGTTAGCAAGATTCTTCCCTGGAGCTAACCATCTTTCCATCAAAGTGCTCCCCAGGCTTCCCCAAAGCATATCCGATTTGCCAAGGCAGAAAGTGTCTGGAAGGCATGGACTGCTACACTACCACTAAGGAGAAAGTCAAATATATCCTGATGCTGGGGTTGCCAAATCTTTATAAAAAGCTCTCCTCTTTATGCCCCTGGCAGTCAGGACTTTCACATCCTAGATATTCACAAGTATCTAGAAGGATGGCACCTGCAGCATCTTGTGCACCTGTGGGCACCAGGGCCAGTCCTGGGCAGTCAGGTTTGGTTATCACTGCTTTCAGCCTCAGAGCTGCCAGGAGCTTTATACACTCTCCTTTTTTCTACTCTTGACCCTGTTCTTCTGAAAAGACCTGATAAACTTATTCATCCCAAGACATAAATAGCTGCTAAGGAACATTTGCATTTAACAGAGCACAAAGCCCTAAGAGTGAATCTTGAATGGCAGGGCAGGGACCTTTCCTGGCCCCTCTGCCATCATAGCACGTAGGGCTGCAGGCTGGCACCCATTTGTATGATCATCCCACAGGGGGCAAAAATGATAATTAATAGTCATCATTTCTATTCCAGGAACAATGCTAAGTGCTTTGCAAATACTACCTCATTTAATTGTGATACTCAAGCCTGGAATATAAAAAAGCTGTCACCAGCTGTCTGTCCTCCCACTGGGCTTTAAACAAACCAGTGAGCACATCGGAAGCCACATGTTGTTTCCTTTATATGCTTAAGACAAATTGATATTTCCCAGTAGTCTTTAAGTGAATAATTTTCAAAAACCCAGTTTGTATAGCTCACAAGTTTATCCAGTTATAAGGCTTATGATCGACTACAAAAACATTTCCAAAAACAAAGCAATGAAAGCAAGATCTCCTCTTCCAGATGACATTTGTCATCTTCTTATTCTCTAGTCCTTCTTGCTCCACCAAGAAGCAATTAAGCTTTTGCTAGCTCTTGCTGTAAGGTATTACAACATCCAGTGTTTATTCTGTATTATCTTTCATCATTTTTAGTGCCATCTGGTAGACATAAAATTGATTAAGATTAGTATTCAATGGGAGCAAACCAACAATTATTCATTTATCAACTCTGAGAGTGAAAAAGAATCAGTTTACTAATGATTTCTCCTCTAAACTGTGGATGCCTTCATCTTTCCAGGCTGGCCCCTGTTAGATTTCAGAGTATTGCTTTAGACTACATAACTGACCTTAAGAAATAACCCACACTGCCTGTAAGTCACTGCTTTTCAGCAGCTGGGTTATAATTTACAATATAAAAATGAGTCAGTGTAGCATGTATTAAAATTATCAAAGATATTTTTTCTTTTTTGACAGACTAACCAAAGATTGAATGCTCCGTTATTTTCTTTACAGAATTAGTTATGCTGTTCGTCTTGAAACTGCATTTCTTTCCACGGGGTGGGAGAGAAAAAGACCTAAGACAAATTTCTTCAACGGAATATAATTTCTTGCCCTGGGGAGGTTGTTAGACTAAAGCTAAGAGCTGAATGACTTCAGTCACCTAATAGCAGCCACTCTCCCTCCTTCAGCAAAACACATTGACTGTTGTGTTCTACCACAGTCATAAATAGGAATTATTGATGCATCAAGAGTAAAACTAAACAAAACCAAAAAGGATTTGGCCAGGCACCAGTTTAGAACTGCAAGGAAGAGATGTTATTTTGAGTTTTGAACTTTAAAAACCCAGTCAGACTCAGAATTTAAAATGTAACTAGAAAAATCAGCCATTATTATATTTGTGTGCTTTTAAAAATAGACAGGGAAATTAAGTAGGGGACACCTGTATAGCAAAGGACTGTTCTAAATACCAAAAACAACAGAAGGATGAGTTTTTAAAATCTTTTCTGGGCTGAGTGGTGTAGCTCACAGCTGTAATCCCAGCATTCTGTGAGGCTGAGGCAGGTGGATCACCTGAGGTCGGGAGTTCAAGACCAGCCTGACCAACATGGAGAAACCCTGTGTCTACTAAAAATACAAAATTAGCCAAGCGTGGTGGTGCATGCCTGTACTCCCAGCTACTAGGGAGACTGAGGCAGGAGAATTGTTTGAACCCAGGAGGCGGAGGTTGCAGTGAGCCAAGATCACACGATTGCACTCCTGCCTGGACAACAAGAGCAAAACTCCATCTCAAAAAAAATTTTTTCTGAAACTGTTGGTGAAATGTAAAAATTTTAATGAAACAAAAAAAAACCTATTGATCAGAACGTGAATGTGGTAAAAGTTGGTCAGCATATATAAAGATGGCTTTGAAATAGCCCGTAAGTCTTTTTCAAGAAGGTAGAATTAAATCACTACTTGGTTAAAAATGGACTTCATAACACTCCAAACTTGCCTCCATTCATACCGAAGTGTTAATAAAACTGTTATGGGGCAGAATCTTTATTAGATCTATCATTCTAAAAATTCAGCTAGAATCTATTTTAAAAGGAAAGTTTGCCTCTCCTGATCTGATTAATAATGGAGTTAAGAGGTAAAAAAGGGCCAAGTGTGGTGTTTAGAATGCAATTCTAGAAGTTAGGAGTGTTGGGTTAATAGGTTTCTGTTTCCTGCTTAATTTTATCATTTGTTCATGATAAGATGACTTATCATTCATATTACAAATAGGACAGTTAGCAAAGCAGGGACCAGGAGATGTTGCATGTCCTGTGTTTACTGGAGAGAAATAGATAATGAAGAGATGGCCATCAGCTCTGTTCTCCTGGGCATAAAGGAACAAACTGTTTGACTGGATGGGTCAACATGAGCCATTTCAGGAACTGGGTCTGGGGCTTAGGCCAAGTTCCAGCACCATCCTATCCCACAAAATGACCAGCAGAGAGTTCTCAGAGTCATACTTTTCAGTGGTCATTTTTTAAAAATTAGCATGGTGGCTCATGCCTGCAATCCCAGCACTTTGGGAGGCCAAGGAGGGCAGATCATGAGGTCAGGAGACGGAGACCATCCTATCCAACATGGTGAAACCCCGTTGCTACGAAATATATTTAAAAAGAAAATTAGCTGGGTGTGGTGGCGTGCGCCTGTAGTCCCAGCTACTCAGGAGGCTGAGACAGGAGAATCTCTTGAACTCAGGAGATAGAGGTTGCAGTGAGCCGAGATTGCACTGCACCACTGCACTCCAGCCTGGTGACAGAGTGAGACTCCATCTCAAAAAAAAAAAAAAATTAGCTGGATGCGGTAGCTCATGCCTGTAATTCCGGCACTTTGGGGAGCCAAGGCAGGCAAATCGCCTGAGGTCAGGAGTTCAAGACCAGCCTGACCAATATGGTGAAACCCCGTCTCTACTAAAAATATAAAACTTAACTGGGCGTGGTGGCATGGGCCTGTAGTCCCAGCTACTTGGGAGGCTGAGACAGGAGAATTGCTTGAACGAGGGAGGCAGAGGTTGCAGTGAGCCGAGATTGCACCATTGTACTCCAGCCTGGCCACAAAGTGAGACTGCGTCGAAATAAATAAATAAATAAATAAATAAATTTAATGAGCTGTCTTAGTGTGTTGTAATTATGTCCTGACAGCTATACACAATTCATTAGAAGGATATACTATGGTGCCTATGTTGAACTTTCTAGGCTTAATCTAATGGCCTCTTTGTTTTGTTTTGTTTTGTTTTGTTTTTTGAGACGGAGTTTCACTCATGTTACCCAGGCTGGAGTGCAATGGCGCGATCTCGGCTCACCGCAACCTCTGCCTCCTGGGTTCAGGCAATTCTCCTGCCTCAGCCTCCTGAGTAGCTGGGATTACAGGCACGCACCAGCATGCCCAGCTAATTTTTTGTAGTTTTAGTAGAGACGGGGCTTCACCTTGTTGACCAGGATGGTCTCAATCTCTTGACCTCGTGATCCACCCGCCTCGGCCTCCCAAAGTGCTGGGATTACAGGCTTGAGCCACTGCGCCCGGCTGTTTTGTTTTTTGAGAGCACTGTCAGCTCAACTCATTACAACCTCCGCCTCCCAGGGATAAGCAATTCTGCCTCAGCCTCCCGAATAGCTGGGATTACAGGCACCCGCCACCAAACCCAGTTAATTTTTTGTATTTTTAGTAGAGACAGGGTTTTGCTATGTTGGCCAGGCTGGTCTCGAACTCCTGACTTCGTGATCCACCCTCCTTGGCCTCCCAAAGAGCTGGTATTACAGGCGTGAGCCACTGGGCCTGGCCTAATGGCTTCTTTAGCTGATGATCACTTTGTGTTGGGGTGCCGTGTGTTGAATTACTCCTCTCCCTCACTTCTTCCTCCTATTCCTATCCTAAAATTAATAAGACATTGTGCTTATTTTTCATCCTCTCGGATAGTAGTTGTCATTGGTAAAGACTTTGGATATAACTCCTACCTAGGTCCCTCAAACCAATAGTTGGAGAAACTATTGTCAACTCAGGTATAATGTATTAATTTTCCAATCAATAGTGGGTACTAGCTGAAGCATATACTAAAAGATATGTCAGGGATGAACAATTTGAGATTTCATAAATCATGATTTATCTCTGTTTTGCTTCCAAAATCCAAATATTAATCAAGTTTTATACCACTCTTTGATCAGAAGTACTTAGAACTAAAAGTCAACTTATTGAGCTTAAAGCCGTAGCATGACACTATGAAATTCAACATACTTGGGAAGTGCAAATTTATGGATAGATTTTCTTTATTAATGGCTACTAATAATGGCCTATAATCAAAGTAAAACCTCTAGCAAATAATTACCAACTTAATTGCTGAATAAATAGGGTAATTCTTGAATTTCTAATTGTCTTTCCTACTGAATCTTAATGTCAAAATAAATTATCTTAGCAGTAAGTTCATTTCCTTACATGTTGATATTATTTATATTAATTGCAAGTGCTTTTTCATCATGTGTAGACTAAGCTCTCCCAACTCTTTGTATAACTATGAAAATATCTCTGCCCTAGGCAATTAATGAAAGGTCATCCTTAGATTAGGGCCTGAGTATGGACTATCCCAAGGTTACTATTAGAAGTCAGATTTGAAATCTTAGTAACTTCCCTTATTCTCTCTTCAGATTCTCAGATACCCATTTGCTTCAAAAGATAGAGTGGACTTTTAAAATGAGGAATTAACATTATTTTCAGGAATTGAGTTTTCTTGATATACTGGGTATGATTTTTAGTACATACCAAATCCCCCAATCTGCTATGTTAAAATACAGATTTCATAAGTGTGAATATTGTAACTGCTCCAATTTGGATTAACTATCTTTGTTGTTTGACAGTGAACATCTCCAAGTAGAATCAAAGGGAAGATGAGCGTAAAACCAGTAATAAAGGAACTTGTACACTTTCCATTATCTTTCTTCCTCTGCCCAGGCATGGTTGATGGTGCTGGCACCAGCAGTTCTGTCTAGATGTAACCTTGTCTTCTTCCCATTATTTTCCTGCCCTGTCATTATTTTCCACACTGTTCTAAGCTAAAGGAAGACTGAGTCGGTCTGTCTTTATCCCATCTTATTTGCTGTGTGCCAGACCTCTTCAGTGCTCTCCTAAGCCAGTCTGTGCTGTGCTGACCTTGTTTTTGAAAACTCTGAGAACAACACTATTCACAGGGCTATCATCCTTGTCTCGCCCAAATAACATACAGCCCTGCTGCCTCGAGTCCTCTCTGCCTCTCCGCTGTCCCCAGATTGGGTATAACAAAACATCTAAATAATCATAAGCATTGTATGGAAAGTTTCTTTGAAAAATTGTGGATCATTCCAGAGATGTAAAATGTACTGTGGTGAAAAGTTTGATTTTGCACATTGTGGCTTTAGAATTCTGCCTCTTATCTAAGAAAATAGTGCAGAAAAAATATATATATATATTCTGCCTCACAGTCTAGGTGTGTGATTTAATTTCTTTCATTTAAGACTTTGCTTTATTCCTAGCCCTTGTGGTAGCTGTTCTGCGCTTCATACAACTGAAACCGAAAGTTTTAAACCCGTGGCTGAATATTAGTGGATTGGTGGCGCTGTGTCTGGCTTCCTTTGGAATGACCTTACTTGGTAATTTTCAGGTACTTGATTTGGCCTTTTTCATCTCCCTCTGACACTGGTAAGATCTTCACTTGTGACATTATCAAAGCTATTGAGGTATAATCACCATATGGCCCATATCATTTGGCACAAACCTTTCTTTGGAAATTAGGGCTCTTTTCCATGACACCTCAGAGGCATTCAGCTGCTTCAACATAAAGCTGAACATCTCCTTCCCAGCCACTGGCTGCCAGAAACTCGTTGAAGTAGATGAAGAACACAAACTTTGTACTTTTTAGGAGAAGCGTGTAGCCATAGGAGTTGCTGCTGACACTCTGGGGAAGAAAGGAAGGGTTATGTGGTCTGAATCAGTGGTGGGAACGACAAACAAGGTTTCCCCATGAAGCAGGGTGTCTTGACTCATGGCCGTGTCCGCCTGCTACTGAGTAAGGGGCATTCCTGTTACAGCAAGGAGAACTGGAGAAAGAAAGGGAAAATCAGTTCGTTGTAGCATTGTGGATGCCAATCTGAATGTTCTCAACTTGGTTATTTTAAAAAATAAGTAAATGGAGAGAAGGATATTCCCGAACTGACTGATACTATGGTGCCTCATTGCTTGGGGCCCAAAAGAGCTAGCAGAATCCACAAACTTTTCAATTTCTCTATAGAAGATGACATCTGCCAGTATGTTGTAAGAAAGCCCTTAAACAAAGAAGGTGCGAACCTAGGACCAAAGCACCCAAGATTCAGCGTCTTGTTCCTCCCTGTGTCCTGCAGCACAAATGACAGCGTATTGCTCTGAAGAAGCAGCGTACTAAGAACAGTAAGAGACTGCAGAGTATGCTGAACTTCTGGCCAAGAGAATGAAGGAGGCTAAAGAGAAGCAGCAGAAACAACAAATTACAAAGAGATGCAGACTTTCCTCTCTGCAAGCTTCTATTTCTAAGTCTGAATCCAGTCAGAAATAAGATTTTTTGAGTAACAAATAAATAAGATCAGACACACACACACACACACACACACACACACGGAACGCTGGTTTCTAATATGCACAGGTTCTCTAGGGTTTAGCCTTTCTAGTCTCTCAGCCTGGTCTTCTGAGTTCTCTTACACGTGCGAGGGTGTTAAATATGCCTATGAAATACAGCGTGGCTACTGAGAAGAGCAGCTACTGGAACAGCTGTGTATTTTCTACAAAGGATTTCCAAGTGGTTTACACTTTTTTTCATAACAAATTGGATCCCAATGTACCTTTCTAGAAAACCAATAGGATCATTGTCTTTCTATGACTAAATACCAAACATCCTTATGGGATGAAAGCATGCTTTTCAGATTATCGAGTTTATGTGGAAGCCAAGTCTGGAAGCCCAGAATTTCTCTAGAACACCTATGACTTATATAAAGATATACTAACTCTAACTCCTCTTCCTAGAAATTCAGAAGCTCAAGTTCACAACCTGTTAGCATAATTTTCCTTGCCAATACCATTACGCACCTCTTGACAAGAATGACTTTATTTGTAAAATAGACAAGGAAACCTCTGTACTATTTCAGTGGTTGACTGATTTCCCTCCCTCCCTACCAGCCTCCAACCTATGCTATTTATACTGCTGCTAGAAACTTCCTCCTTGTGGGCAAACACTGATCCTGACACTCTTCCCCCCGTCTGTTGAATGAAATCCCAAATGGCATAGGCATTCAAGACCCTCAGCATTCTAGTGCGCATTTAGTAATGTTTCTAATGAAAATAGTAGTGGATTTTCTAAGGCTGTTTCTTGTCCTGCCCTCAGCACTGCTAATTTATTAAACCAGGATCACATCGCTTCTCGGCCTTTTGGCTAAGATCAAGTGTAAACCAGAATCACTCATTCCCAAAGACTTCCCCTGGCACATAGTAGTGACCCAATGAATATTTTTTGTTTGATGAGATGTAAATAGGCAATCTCACCAATTCCTCTAACATTCTATCTTCCATTTATATCCAGCTAGGCAACCAGAAAGCTGCATTCTTAGAATAGATTGGTTGAGGCAGTGATTACCAGGAGAATTATTGAGAGTTTATCCTATTAAGATACAAAATGATACAGCATGGGACATTTTAATTGAACTTTTGGTGGGAGTCTCCCTCACTTACCAGCCTGTGCTGAGGTACAGGCATGTTGTAAAGTGCTCAATCACTGTCACTTCTCTTGACCAGGGCTTTGATGAGTTACTAAGAACACATTTTGTTCTTTACGAAAGTCCTAGAAAAAGCCCCAAGATTGGGTGGCTTTGGTGAACCACAAATACTCAAGACCATGAATATTGACACTACTTCTGACGTACGTTTGCTGCTGGAATATAACAGAATACACGAGAAATGACAAGTTGGTTTCCTATGGAGAAAGCAGGTGGCTAGTATATGGGATGGGAGACAGACTTTTCAATCTTTCCCTCATTATAATTTTTTTAAGTTTGAACTATGTAACTGTATTATCTTTCTTAAAAGATTAAAAATAATGAATGAATAGATTTATATAGCATGGGAAACCAATTTTCTAGAAGCAAAATTTGATTTGCAGGTATCATTATTTTAAATAATTTTGAAAATACATCTTTTGAGCTGTGAGAGAAAACATGGGTTCTTCAAAAAAAGAGGTAAAAATCCTACAGCCAAAAACAGCAGAAAAAATTGTAAGGGAAAAGTAATATTGATCTGATGCAACCATTATGAACAACAATGTCAAACAACAAGACATCTGAAAACAACAGCAATTCAAAAAAATAATATTTTCACAGTGGCTTAAAGCCATGTCTTCAACAGTAGATTTTACTTTCCTATATGTGCAATTAAAAACTATATGTAAATACACAGTGAGTTTTTATTGTACCACTGCACTCTAGCCTGGGCAACGGAGCAAAACCCCATCTCGAATGTGTATATATGTGTATACATGTGTATATGCACAAACATATATGTTAGGTTTGATGAAGGCATGGATAGACTTTGTTTTTTTCTTTTTTGGAGAAATAGATAGTCTTGGTGAAGTACGATTGACTTAAAAAATTATGATCTAATGGTGATAATCTGAATATATATATATTTACATATATATATGTGTGTGTATATATATATATATATATATATACATGAAAATACAAAAGGAGTTTTAAATGATGGAGATTATGTGTGTGTGTGTATATTTGAGATGGAGTTTCACTCTTGTTGCCCAGGCTGGAGTGCAATGGCGCAATCTCGGCTCACCACAACCTCTGCCTCCTGGGTTCAAGCGATTCTCCTACCTCAGCCTCCCAAGTAGCTGGGATTACAGGCGTGCACCACCATGCCCAGCTAATTTTTTCTTTTTAGTAGAGATGGGATTTCTCCATGTTGGTTCGGCTGGTCTCAAACTCCTGACCTCAGGTGATTCGCCCGCCTCGGCCTCCCAAAGTGCTGGAATTATGGGCGTGAGCTACTGCACCTGGCCCAAGTGATGGATATATTTTAAAATATCAGTGGGTAATAATTTGAGGAGTTTACATCTGACCCCCCCAGTGGAAATAACCTAAAGGGAAGTCCTTTAACCTATTTCCTCTACAAAAGCCTTGAGTATGAATCTTCAAATCCTGTTGTCCCACTGTGGGTCTCTGTATGTGGCAAAAGCTCATAGGCAACAGTTTTTCTTATTACTATAGGAAAATAAAACTAAAAAAATTTCCCATTAACAATGAATTAGGGCCGGGTATGGTGGCTCACACCTGTAATCCCAGCACTTTGGGAAGCCTAGGCGGGTGGATCATCTGAGGTTGGGAGTTCGAAACCAGCCTAGCCAACACGGTAAAACCCCATCTCTACTAAAATACAAAAAATTAGCTGGGCATGGTATCATATGCCTGTAATCCCAGCTACTTGGGAGGCTGAGGCATGAGAATCACTTGAACTCGGAGGGCTGAGGTTGCAGTGAGCCAAGATCACACTACTGCACTCCAGCCTAGGTGACAGAGTGAGACTCTGTCTAAAAAAAAAAAAATTAAGCCAGGCACCACGGTGACTCACGCCTGTAGTTGCAGCACTTTGGGAGGCCAAGGCAGGCGGATCACTTGAGGTCAAGAGGTGGAGATCAGCTTGGCCAACATGTTGAAACTCTGTCTCTACTAAAAATACAAATATTAGCCAGGTGTGGTAGCACGTACCTGTAACCCCAGCTACAGCCTGGGCGACAGAGGACTCCGTCTCAAAAAAACAAACGATGAATTACTCACATTACATAGGCCAGTTTTGTAAGAGTAAAAAACATAGCTTAAAAGGTTTTAGTTGTCCACGCCAATTAAATCTTGACTTGCCTAGAATTGGCCGTCCTCTGTCAGTAAATATATATAGACCAGGATTGATGGCTCATGCTTGTAATCTCAGCAGTTTGGGAGGCCAAGACGGGAGGACCACTTGAGCTCGGAAGTTTGTACCAGCCTGGGTAACCTAGAAAGACACCATCTCTATAAAAAATAAATAAATAAATAGTACTCTCCTCCTGCTACCCAAGATGCTGCAAGGAAAGAAGGCCAGAATGATGAAGGCGGCTCCGGCCCCTGCTGTTGGGAAAAAGCAGGAGGCCAAGAAAGTGGTGAAGCCCTGCTTTGAGAAAAGTCCTAAGAACGTTGGCATTGGACAGGATATCCAGCCCCAAAGTGACCACACCCACTTTGTGAAATTGGCCTGTTATATCAGGTTACAGTGGCAGAGAGCCATCCTCTCTGGCTGACCCATAAGTACAGACCAGAGACAAAGCAAGAGAAGAAGCAGAGGCTGTTGGCCCAGGCTGAGAAGAAAGCTGCCGGCAAAGGGGACATCCCCAGTAAGGGACCACCTGTCCTTCAAGCAAGAGTTAACACTGCCACCACCTTAGTGGAGAACAAAAAAGGTCACCTGGTGGTGACTGCACATGACGTGGATCCCATCGAGCTGGTTGTCTTCCTGCCTGCCCGGTGTCGTAGAATGGGGGTGCCTTACTGCATTATCAAGGAGGGGACAAGACTGGGATGCCTAGTCCCCAGGAAGACCTGCACCACTGTCGATTTCACACAGGTTAACTCGGAAGACAAAGGAGCTTTGGCTAAGCTGGTGGAAGCTATCAGGACCAATTACAACAACAGATAGGATGTAATCCGCCGTCACTGGGGAGGCAGTGTCCTGGGTCCCAAGTCTGTGGCTCGCATCGCCAAGCTCAAAAAGGCAAAGGCTAAAGAACTTGCCACCAAGCTGGGTTAAATGTACACTGTTGAGTATTCTGTACATTAGAAAACAATTAAAGTAATACAAAATTTCCTTCAAAAGAAAAAAATTAGCCAGGCATGGTGGCATGCGCCTGTGGTTTCAGCTACTTGAGAGGCTGAAGTGGGAGGATCACTTTGAGCCAGGGAGCCGTCATCATGCCACTGTATTCCAGCCTGGGAGACAGAGTGAGACCCTGTCTCAAAAAACACACAAAAAACAAAACACACACACACACACACACACACACACACACACACAAAACAAAAAGCAAAAACCATGTTCAAATCCCTGTTCTAATTTTCTTAGCTTGGAAAGGTTTGGGGTGTATACTTGTAGAAACATTTCTTTTTCTGTAACTCTCCTGCTGTTTTCTTTTACTTTTTCTAAACAAATATTTTTGAGGGTTGGGGGTATTACTTATTTATTTCCTTCATCCCCTCAGAGTTCAAACCATAGAACAAAGAGCTAATCTTTCTACAATCTGTCTTCCCATTGTTGGGATATCTCTTTTCCTGTATTTTCCCCTCATATATTCCTTCAACTTGCATGTCTTCTTTGCTGAATGGGCCTTGATGTATCATTATCCGTTCATCCCTAAGCTCACGAATGATGAAGAAATCCATAACGTCGGAACTTCCTTGACCTTTGGATTTGGCACGTTGACCTGCTGGATCCAGGCTGCACTGACACTCAAAGTCAACATCAAGAATGAAGGACGGAGAGTTGGAATTCCACGGGTTATTCTGTCGGCATCTATCACTCTCTGTGTGGTCCTCTATATCCTTTGAATGTGAAAATGTTCTTTTGCCAGTAAGGTGAAAACAAGTAAGTTGTCTCTGCAGAAGAACCCAGTGGGTTAGGATATTCTGCCAGATCATCTCAGAATCTTAAGGCAAAACAAAGGTAAATGGGTATAAAAACAAAAACTCAGACCGATTTTTCATGCCAAAGGGGAGACGGAGAAATAAAAATAAAACAAGGTCTGCCCTGTCCAGATGAGGAAGGTGTCATGCACTCTCCTTATCACTAATGATGTAAAAGTTATCATTTGTGAAAATCGGAGAATGCATAGCCAAAAGAGAATTGTCATTTTTTCTCCAGCTTGAAACAATTCATCTGTGACTTTATTAACAGCCCTGTTATTTCATTTCATTTATTAGCTCTGAAATGAATTTCAGAGGGCCAATATATTTATATCTTCCAGGAAAAGAATGAAGCTTTTCTGGAAGACAAATTCAAGCATTAAATTAATGTTGCATGTGTAGCTTTCCTCAAATATTTGAGGTTTGGGGATGCTGTTCATTTCTTTTCCTCCCCTCAGAGTTTGAACCAATTGAGAATAGACAATAAAAGTCAGATGGGGATGGATGAAGAAATCAGCCTTTATTCTAGTAAACCTGAAAGGAAAATGCTGAAGGGCTCCTTTCTCACACCTTGGAATTCAACTTAACCACCCAGTAACAAGCAGAGAAACCAAGGAAAGGCAGAGGAGAGCAGCTCACTCACATATCCCAGAGAGAGTCTATCTTAGGGTGGGATGCAGTGACATCACTTGCTAACAGTGCAGCCCAATAGAAGCCTTCCAGTTCCCATCACACCAATCAGAGCAGTCACTCATTCCATGGAGTGGAGTAATCAGAAGCGTTCAACGCTTTGGGAGGCGGAGGAAGGAGGATCACTTGAAGCCAGGAGCTCAAGATCCACCTGGACAATAAAGCGAGACCCTGTCTCTACAAAAAGAAAAAAAAAAATCTAAAAATCAGCTGGGTGTTGTCATGAGCACCTGTAATCCTAGCTACTGGGGAGACTGAGGTGGGCTTGCTTGAGCTGGGGAGTTTGAGGCTGTAGTAAGCTAAGATCAACCCTGTCTCTAACCATCAATCAATCAATCAATCAATAATAAAGACTTGGTGCTGTGGCTCATGCCTGTAATCCTAGCACTTTGGGAGGCTGAGGCAGGAGGATTACTTAAGCCCAGGAGTTCAAGACCAGCCTGGGCAAGATAGCAAAACCTGGTCTCTATAAAAATTTGTTTTAAAAAAAAGTTAGCAAGGTGTGGTGGTGTGCACCTGTAGTCCAAGATACTTGGGAGGCTGGGGGGGAGAATCACTTGATCCCAGGAATTTGAGGCTGCAGTGAGCTGTGATCATGCCACTGTAAACCAGCCTGGGTGACAGGGGGGAGCCCTTGGCTAAAAAAAAAAAAAAAAGGAAAAGGAAAAATAAAAGAAGTGTTCACTCTAATAAGGTCCTCTTCCTCAGGAAACCAGAGAAGGGAATCAAGGTTCCTAAAGGGTAGACTGTACGGTAAACACAATTATACATCTTCAGTCATAATAATCACCAATACTTATACAGCGTGCTAGGCATTATTCTAAGTACTTTAAATTTATCAACTCTTTTTATCTTCACTTAACATAGAAGAACAGTGAATCACACAGAAGTTTAATGTGCCCAAGATCACACAGATAACGTGTGGTGGATCAAGATTTAAACTCAGGCTCAGCTCTTGCACTTTTTAACCACTACAGGACCCCACCTTAGAGAAGTGGCTTTATCAAGATGGGATTTGGGTGAAAAAGAAAAAAATAATAAAAAGAAAAAAAGAGAAAGTAACTTTAGAATGAAATAATGGCATTCACAGCAACCTGGATGGAATTGGAAACCATTATTCTAAGTGAAGTAAGTCAGGAATGGAAAATCTTTTTTTTTTTTTTTTTTTTTGAGACAGAGTCTTGCTCTTGTTGCCCAAGCTGGAGTGCAATGGCGCAATCTCAGCTCACCACAGTCTCCACCTTCCAGGTTCAAGCAATTCTCCTGCCTCAGCCTCCTGAGTAGCTGGGATTACAGGTGGGTGACACTATACCCATCTAACTTTTTGCACTTTTAGTAGAGATGGGGTTTCACCATGTTAGCCAGGCTGGTCCTGAAATCCTGACCTCGTGATCCGCCCACCTTAGCCTCCCAAAGTGCTGGGATCACAGGTGTGAGCCACCGCACCCAGCAAGAATGGAAAACCAAACATCCTATGTTAGTGGGAGCTAAGCTGTGAGGACACAAAAGCATTAGAATGACACAGTGGACTTTGGGGACTTGGGAAAGGATGGGAGAGGAGTGAGGGATAAAAGACTACACATTGGGTACAGTGTACACTGCTCTGGTGGTGGGTGCACCAAAATCCCAGAAATCATGACTAAGGAACCTATTCATGCAAACAAACACCACCTATTCCCCAAAATCCTATTGAAATAAAAATGAATAAATTTAAAGTTCAAAAATAGCTAGAAAAAAAAAGTATATCAATTTCTTAAAAAAAAAACAAACAGAAAGTAGCTTTAAAATATGAATAGAAGCAGACCCTAAGATGAGGGTGGAAAGAATAAAATATGAAAATATACACAGTTCAGAGCCCATTCTCTGGTTAGTGGAGTATTTGGACTATTTATTTCTTCTTCATTCACAAATTTCCATTCCACCATTTTGCTGATTTTCCAAAGCTCTACAGTCACATTAGATAGAGAACATTTAAGGACTTAAGTTCAAGCCAAAATACTTGCTCCTTACTAGCAACCTAATAAATACTTTATGATCAAAAAGGTCAAGACTCTGCCAATATGGGATATTTGTGATTTCTCCATTAATTTAAGTAATAAGTGAATATTTCTTTGGCAATATTTTGCACCCTTGTTCGGAAGAATGTGCAGACTTTAAATTATTCTGAGATATTGTGTGTGTGTGGTTTTGTGTGTGTGTGCGTGTGTGTGTTTTTAATTTTTTGAGATGGAGTTTCACTCTTGTTGCCCAGGCTGGAGTGCAGTGGTGCAATCTTGGCTCACTACAACCTCCACCTCCTGCGTTCAAGTGATTCTCCTGCCTCAGCCTCCTGAATAGCTGGGATAACAGGCACACACCACCACGCCCGGCTAATTTTGTATTGTTAATAGAGACAGAGTTTCACCATATTGGTCAGGCTGATCTTGAACTCCCAATCTCAGGTAACCTACCTTCCTCGGCCTCCCAAAGTGCTGGGATTACAGGCGTGAGCCACTGTGCCTGGCCTTTTGTGCGTGCGTGCGTGCGTGCGTGCGTGTGTGTGTGTTTCAAGACAGGGTCTCACTCTGTCGCCTAGGCTGGAGTGCAGTGGCATGATATTGGCTCACTGCAACCTCCGCCTCCCGGGTTCAAGCCATCCTCCCATCTCAGCCTCTAGAGTAGCTGGGATTACAGGCATGCACCCTCACATCCGGCTAATTTTTGTATTTTTAGTAGAGATGTGATTTCGCCATATTGCTTAGGCTGGTCTTGAAGTACTGGGCTCAAGTGATCTGCACTCCTCAGCCTCCCAAAATGTTGGGATTACAGGCGTGAGCCACCATGCCCAGCCTATCCCAAGTTTTGAGCTTTCACCAAATGATTCTGATTCATGTTCTTTCTGAACATGTGGAATCTTTTTTTTTTTTCCGGTTCTCAGGTGAATGGATCAAAGTCCAGTCAGCAGAGCAGTCTGGCTGAAGTAATTCACATTCTTGCTCTCTGAAAATTTCCCAATTTCATGTCTAATTTCAGAAGATAGAACTAATTCTAAGGAGACCTTTCTAATCTTTCTAAGTACATGTATTTAGCTCCTCAGACACTTGGCTCTTCACTAAAGCATGCTATGAATGTCTCACCCTTCTCCTTCCCAGCTCCTCCCTCCATTTATTCTGTTGTGTCTATACAGATACACAAACACACACACACACACACACACACACACTCCATATATATCAAGGCATAAGAATCTGATCTGTTTCTTTTTTTTTTTTTTTTTTTTTGAGACAGTGTCTCTCATTGTCGCCCGGGTTGGAGTGCAGTGGCACAATTCTTGGCTCACTGTAACCTCTGCCTTTCAGGTTCAAGTGATTCTCCTTCCTCAGCCTCCCATCACGCCACCACCCCTGGCTAATTTTTTGTATTTTTAGTAGAGACGGGGTTTCACTTTGTTGGCCAGGGTGGTCTCAGACTCCTGACCTCGTGATCCACCCGCCTCAGCCTCCCAAAGTGCTGGGATTGCAAGTGTGAGCCACCGCGCCTGGCCCTCTTTTTCTTTTTTTAAAACTGGAGCCTTGTTTTCACCCTAGCTAGAGTGCAGCGGTGCAATCACAGCTCACTGCAGCCTCAAACTCCTGGGCTCAAGTGATCTTCCCACCTCAGCATCCCAAAGCACTGGGATTACAGGCAGCTACCCCACCTGGCCTCATCTATTTGTTTGTCATGCAAGTTTAAACGTGATACCAGGAATGAAAGTAGTCTATACAGTATTGTCTAAAAGACAGTAGTGAAAATTAGAACAGTCAGAAGGGCCAGCCACTAGACATTGTTAGTAGTACTGCAGAGCCAAACAGCTTACATGTAGGTAGTTAGTAATTTGATATGTTCAAAATTATTTCTGCAGATATAATGATAGCTATGAACTCACAGTCATTTGCAGTGATTTCTTCTTTTTTTTTTTTTTTTTTTGAGATGGAGTCTCGCTCTGTTGCCCAGCCTTGGGTGCAGTGGCCGATCTCGGCTCGCCATTTGCAGTGTGAATCATAGTATGCCATGATTTTTTAAAAAATAGCTTGATTTTTCTGGCCAACTAATTTCTTTGGAATTCTAATCTTTTTGGTAACCTCCCAGTTTCTTAAGCAGCTACAAAGTACAGCTGTTGAGTGCATGGCGCAGGAGTTAGAGCGCTGGTTTGAGCCCAGCTCAGCCAATTAATACCTGTGTGACCTCAGGCAAGTTACTTACCCATTTGGTCTCAGTTTCCCTATTTTTAAACAAACTGGCAATGATTTGGATAGAAGAGTATTTAAGGGCAAACAGAACATGTAAAAAAGAGAAACAAAATGATAAGAGGATTGTTGTGAGGATTAAGTGATACTGTCCATGAAGGCACCTAAAAGCGTGTCTGTGACCAAATAAGAGCTCAGTCATATTAACTGTTATTGTTCATGTCGGTTTTCGTTTTCAGCAAGCTCTAGCAGGCTACCAGCTACTAGTGACGAGGAAAGCCAGACTTTTCCTATACTCTCGCTCTGCCCTGGAAAGATTTCAGCTTTAATGTGCCTGATGCGGGTATTTTCCTTGACCGCTTCTCTCCAGACTTCATCCTCATGGCCCAAAGCATCCACATGTACGCAGCAAGGGTCCAGTGGGGCCTGGTCATGTGCTTCCTGTCTTATTTTGGCACCTTTGCCATGGAATTCCGCCACTACCGCTATGAGATTGTTTGCTCTGAGTACCAGGAGAATTTCCTAAGCTTCTCAGAAAGCCTGTCGGAAGCTTCTGAATATCAGACTGACCAGGTGTAACCCATCAGTTTTTCCTTGCTGGTGAGGTGAGTGTGACAGTGGGGGAGGGGCCAGGAGGACACACTCACGGGACCTGACACAGAACCTCATTACACACACACACACACACACACACACACACACACACACACATTCATGGCCACATTTGCCAAATGAGCTTTTCAGGGCGAGTTATTTCTTTAATGAAAAAGCACAAGCCCTTATGTGTGGAAATACACGCTGTTACACTGAAAATATATGCACGACAGAGCAAGAAGCTTGTGCATGGTCACTTCTTCTCCGTCCCCTTCCCAGCACTCCCTCCTCTTCCCGTTCTCTCCACATGTCTCAAGCACCCTACTGAGTAGGGCAGGCCAAATGTTCCTTGGGAATCACGCCAACTCCCGAAGTTGCCTTCAGGTCCAAAGGGCTTGGAACCAGCTCGCGAGGAAGTTCTGAATCTGGCGCTAATTTTCTTGAATGGATGATAGTGTATCGTCAAATAGGACAGAAATTCTATTGAGATTTGACCCCGTGTGGCCTGCGGAAAGGCATGGTGGGTAGAACTTTGCCACGGAAGCCCCCTTCATCGTTGTTCAGTGGTCGGCTGTGTGGATCCCAGGAGAGGAATATGGTAAAGACTGTGAGGGAAGAGCCCACCACCATGATTTGGACCTGGTGCACTGTGACTGAGAATGATTTCCAAATGTGAATATTTGGAGGGGTTTGTCTGCCAGGCTCGGAACAAGAAGGGGGCAGTGAAGGTATGGTTTAGTGTTTGCTTCCATAGTATGCCATCGACAATTTTTTTATATTCCATGGTTTATTTTTCCTTCAAGTAACTACCATGACTCTCTCTAAGCCTCATGGACAAGATCTAAACCAAATGCAAGAGCTTAGTGTGCTTTGGGTTCAGCCATGATCGCAGAAAAACAAAGGTCACCTGCAGGCTTCTGTTGGACGCTAAGAAAATAGTCACAGAAAAGTGGAAAGAGATATGGATGTGCAGAGGTAATAAGAACTGCTGCTGGACGTTTATCAAAGATAGGCATTTTAGAGCATCTTGTTGCAAGTCCAAATCTGGGGAGACTTTGTTAATACATATCGTATGTATCTTTTGCTCAAATTTAGTATTTTTTTAAATTAATTAAGGGCTTTTCAAATTTGGAATTTGTAGAAGCCAGTTAAAAGAATACCCTTCCTAAAAATCAGAGTGACACAGCTGGTCCCCCTGCTAGCCAGCCCGCAGTTCCCAGTTCCCACCTGCTGAGAGTTCAGAACTCAGACTATAGGTGTGGGCTTTTGAGGCTGGGCTTCATGACGAAGAGCAGAATTCCAAATTCAGACTGTGTTGGAGTGAGCCAAGTGGACAGTCCCTCCACGAGTGCACTTTGTTTCAAGAAATCCTCAGATTTATTTACTCCGTAGATGCCTGGGATTTCATGGAATATAATATGAAAAACATTTTTTAACTCAACCAAAATCTGAACTTCTTGAGGAACAGGTCAATGTCTTTTCATCTGTGTATTTTTCCCCACCTCCTAGCACAGTGCCTGGCACATATTAGGTGCTCAATAAATAATTTAAGAGTAGGAAAAAGGAGTGTCAGAGAGAGACTCAAAGCTGAGTGAGACAGCATGGAAGATGGCTATTTCACGTGAGACAGGAATGGAAGTGGGCATGAATAGGGGTCAGATGGGGGAGTGAGAATCCCTGTAAGTAAAATGTGATGAAAAGAACAAGCAGAGAACAAGATTCTCCTGTCAAAAAGGCATCTTACTGTAAATAGTCCAAGGTGACATTTGTTAGTTTTGAATACTGCTTTTTTGGGTTTCTTTTTTTCATTTTTATATTTTAAAATTTTTATCAAAAAAACAAAGATTTATGTAGTTTTCTTTTATTCTACACAATCCAAATTAAACAGCTTTTGGTGATGCAATTGTACACTTTCTTAAGAATATATCTAAATAGCACATTTTAGCAGAATCAAGCAATGACTGACATTATTCATTGGGATCTAACCACTAAATAAAATTCTTTTATGCATAATTGTGATTTTCTTATCTCTTATACCACCATTTCTTCTCTAATATTGAAGCATGTGAAAACCCAGTCAGATATTATGTTAAAAATGAACTTAAATTTCTTTATTGGTCAGGTATTTTCCAACACCATCAACCAATTCTCTGATTCTCCCGGACACCAATTGGGTATCTACAATTCAAATTCTGACACTAACTACCCGGAGTTAGTGTCAGATTCCACAGGTTTAAAGCCTGGGTCCCACAAAACTGCCTCACTTCCACTGCCAGTTACAAGTACTGGGTCCACAGGTGACCTTCATTTCTGTCCAGCTTGGCTACAAAGTCAAGGGGGCTCCCACACACCGCCCACTTAAGGTTCAATAATTTGCTAGAACAGCTCACAGAATTCAGGAAAATACTTAATTTGCTGGTGTTTGATGAAGGCTACAACTCAGGAAGAGCCAAATTGAGAAGAAGCACAGGCGAGACATGGGGAGGTGCCTGGTGCTCCATGCCCACTCAGAGCGCACCATCCTCCCAGCACCTCGCGGTGTTCATCTACCTGGGAGCTCTCTAAATCTTACCATTCAAGAGTATTTTATGGAGCTGGATCTCCAGACACCCTCTCTCCCCAAAGCTCAAAAGGTCAGTGGGTCAGGAGGTGTTTCTGCTGGCCGACCGCAGCCTGGGGTTATCCAGGTGCCCCACCCTAAGTGAATTCATTAGCATAAACTCAAGTGTGATCAAAAAGGGCTCATTATGTAAAACAAAAGATACCCCTCTCAGTAAACTTCAAAGGTTTTAGAAGTTCTGTGCAGGAACTGGGGACAAAGACCAAATATACCTATGCACCCCAGAACAATTTTTCAGTCAAAAACTGACTGAATATAAGACAGTGGTCTCATAAGATTATAATACTGGCTGGGTGTGGTGGCTCATGCCTGTAATCCCAGCACTTTGGGAGGCCAAGGCAGGCAAATCACCTGAGGTCACAAGTTCGAGACCAGCCTGGCCAACATGGTAAAACCCCGTCTCTACTAAAAAATACAAAAAGCCAGGTGTGATGGCACGTGCCTGTAATCCCAGCTACTTGGGAGGCTGAGGCAGGAGAATTGCTTGAACCCAGGAGGTGGAGCTTGCAGTGAACCGAGGTCACACCACTGCACTCCAGCCTGGGAGACAGAGCGAGACTCCATCTCAAAAACAAACAAACAAAAACAAAACGGGAAGATGACAAAACTTGACCTGATAAAACTTGTCCTTATTGTGAACTGACAATAAGGAAAGTTTTATCAGGTCAAGTTTATCATCTGTGTTGTTTGCTGGATTTTCTCTACCCCTGGTGTGGAAAAGCAAAATTTTTGTATCCTGAAATTGGTAATCTACTGGTTACCAATGGAGATGGGATACCACTGTTGATATTATTTTTGTACTCAGGCATTGTGTCCTGAGGATAGGTTAGGTTTTGCTGTCCCAATATAAAACTAATAAAGCTAAACTTTATTTCTCATCCTAGATGTCTGTCCAGGTTCAGCATGGGGTTCTGCTAATTGTAAGAACTCTGACCGTGGCTGATCAACGTTTCCTCTCAGCACATGCTTCCCACTGCTGCTCACAGCCAAGGAAATGTGGCAGACTGCTCCCTACCTCTCAGAGCTCCTTCCAGGAAGGGCAGACATCACTTAGCATACATTTTGTGGCTAAGGAACCTGAGTGGCCTTCTCTAAACATGGCACTCCTACTATGTGCCCACACTGGGACACACATTTGTGAACAGCCCAGTCGCCACCACAGGATCCTTAACTTCTTCAGTCGTTGTCATTCCTTTGAGGTGCAAGTTCCAAAGAATCATTAGAGAAGCCATCATAATTCAGAAAGAGAGGAAAGGGACCATCTGCAGGGTTGGCACTCTTTGAGTCTCAGTGCTTTTCTTACTGTACCTAGATCGATAAGCAACACTTCACAATTCAATCATCCCCTTGCCATCTCTCTGCTTAAAACACTTTTACTTGGCTCTCAGAACATTGTCCCCTTTTAATTTGCCTCCTGCTTCCCTCTCCTCCCAGCTTCCTCTGCTGGGCCACGTTCTCCCTGCCATCCCAACACTGGAGTACCCCATGGCTCCGTCCTGGCAACTCTTCTTTCCTGACCTCGTACAGTATTCTAGTATTCTAGTTTTTTTTTTTTTGGAAACGGAGTTTTGCTCTTGTTGCCCAGGCTGGAGTGCAATGGCACAATCTCGGCTCACTGCAACCTCTACCTCCCGTGTTCAAGTGATTCTCCTGCCTCAGCCTCCCAAGTAGCTGGGATTACAGGCATGCACCACCATGCTCAGCTAATTTTGTATTTTTAGTAGAGACGGGGTTTCTCCACGTTGGTCAGGCTGGTCTCGAACTCCTGACCTAGGTGATTCACCTGCCTCAATCTCTCAAAGTGCTGGGATTACAGGCATGAGCCATCATTGTGCCCGGCCAGTATTCTAGTTTTAAATATTGCCATGGGCTGACATTTCTCAAGTTCTGCAGGCGAGACATCTCTCCTCAGTACCACAGACCTGTGTCTTCAACCACCCTTATGGCGTCGTCACTTGAAAGGCGTCCCAAGTTTAACACATTCTGAATTAGTCTCTGCACTCATTCCTCCCACCCAAGTTAGAGACAATCCGTCTTTCAGTTGCTCACACTGAAACTTTGGAACAATCCTCATCTCTTCTCTGTTGCACACCCCAAATCCTGTCTGCTCTATCTTTAAAGTATACTAGAATTCATTCACTGCCACTGTCTAGTCCAAACCATTGATACCTCTCCTGGATTTTTATAAAAACCTATAAAAATTAGTCTCTCTTCTTCCATCATTTGCTACCTTCAGTGTGTCCTCAATGCAGAAGTCAAAATGCTCTCTCTAAAAGCTAAATTAGGCCTCACATGGCTCATGCCTGTAATCCCAGCCCTTTGGGAGGCCAAGGATAGAGGATCACTTGAGCCCAGAAGTTCAAGACCAGCCTGGGCATGGTGATATCCCAGCTCTACAAAAAATTAGCCATTGGCCAGGCGCGGTGAGTGACGCCTGTAATCCCAGCACTTTGGGAGGCCGAGGCGGGTGGATCACGAGGTCAAGAGATCGAGACCATCCTGGTCAACATGGTGAAACCCCGTCTCTACTAAAAATACAAAAACATTAGCTGGGCATGGTGGCGTGTGCCTGTAATCCCAGCTACTCAGGAGGCTGAGGCAGGAGAATTGCCTGAACCCAGGAGGCGGAGGTTGCGGTGAGCCGAGATCGCGCCATTGCACTCTAGCCTGGGTAACAAGAGTGAAACTCCGTCTCAAAAAAAAAAAAAAAAAAATTAGCCAGGCATGGCGGTGCACACCTGTAGTCCCAGCTACCCAGGAGGCTGAGGAGGGAGGACCACCTGAGCCTGGGAGGTCAAGGCTGCAGTGAGCTGAGATTGAGATTGTGTCACTACACTGTAACCTGGACAACAGAATGAGAGCCTTCTCAAAGGAAAAAAAAAAGCTTAGATCATCATCTCTCCTCTGCTTAAAACCCTCCAGCCCTCAGCACTCTTTGTACCCAAGACTAAAAATCCCAATCATTAAAATGTTCTAAAAGCCCTAAGAAGGTCTGCCTTTATACCTTTCCTTCTCTCTGTTCCAGTCCCTCTGCCTCCTTGTGTTCTTCCAACAGTTCAGGCATGCTCTGGCCACAGGGCCTGATATGGTCTGGCTGTGTCCTCACCCAAATCTCATCTTGAACTGTAGTCCTCATAACCCCCATGTGTTGTGGGAGGGCCCAGAGGGAGGTAATTGAATCATGGGAGTGGTTACTCTCATGCTGTTCTCGTGATAGTGAGTTCTCACAAGATCTGATGGTTTTATAAAGGGCTTTTGTCTATCTTCGCTCTGCACTTCTTTCTGCCACCATGTGAAGAAGGATGTGTTTGCGTCCCCTTCTGCCATGACTGTAAGTTTCCTGAGGCCTCCCCAGCCATGTGGAACTGAGAGTCAATTAAACCTCTTTCCTTTATAAATTATCCAGTCTCAGGCAGTTCTTTATAGCAGCATGAGAAGGAACTAATACAGGGCCTTTGCATTTGCTGTGACCTCTGCCCTGGGCCATCTTCCCCTAAATATTTAAATTTCTCACTTTCTTTACCTACTTGAATGTTACATTCTCACTGAGGCCCCTGACCTCTCTAAAATTCAACCCCTGCAAGCCTACCCCTATACAATCTATCCCTCTTTCCAGTTTTATTTTGCTCTATAGCTTTTTAAAAAAAAAAAAAAAAAACAGGATCTTGCTCACCCAGGCTGGAGTGCATTGGCACCATCGTAGCTCGCTGTAGCCTTGATCTCCTGGGTATAGCATTTTCTTAAACATGGTCCTGTAATTGGTTAAAATTTTAACATGATAATACTGACATACTTTATTATTTTGTTATTATCTGACTCTACCCCTAAAATATAAACTCCAGGAGGACAGAGATTTGTGTCAGCCATATATCCAGCCAGCACTTAGAACCAGTGTCCGGTACATAGGTAAGTACTTAATATTTCTAAAATAAATGACTGGCAGCTGCCAACCCCCAACCCCAGATTTTAAAAAAATATTTGGTCTATTAGATATCAGCTGCTCAGTCATTCAAGGCATTTAGGAAAAGTGCTATTGTGATCAATTTCGAAGGATACAATTGTCCTCATGAGTGCTAGTCCCATCAAACAGCTTTCTGTGTCTTGAGGAAGTTCTAGATTATAGTTATTTTTTATGATGTCTGCAGCAACGAGTACATGTTAAATACCCAAATTCTAAATAAGACTTGAAATATCCTTATGCAAATCCTGTATTAGTACCTGATTTCCTCTCATGTAGCTTCAGAATAATATATTAAGGATAACTAAGTCCTTACCTGAGGAAAATTAAATGTGTTTCATATTTTTAAGACAAGAAGCTGCTGGGCATGGTGACTCACGCCTATAATGCCAGCACTTTGGGAGGCCAAGGTGGGTGGATCACTCGAGTCCAGAA